ACACAAGCAATCTATGAGGTGACTGCAATCGACGGTACGAAATCGATGGTCTGAGGTTACGGCCATCTGATTACTCCATGTCGAAAGCAGGTGCCGCGGCAATTCAACGTTGGCGCTGATCTTCGTCTATTGTGCCTTCGGTATCACATTCCTCTCTCTTATTTGTGTTTTCCATGGACAGGTCACTCAAGAGCAGTCAAAATGTCCAGTGTATCGGAGTATGGAGTTTCGAAGCGAGTAATTCCATACAGTATGCTGAGGGTTAACGACCAAAGACGTAACTTGATTACGAACGGATGTCAGACGTAGGTGAACGTTGTCTGATAAGATGAGAAATCTCTTGAAGCAGCTGCCTCTCGGACCACCGGAAATGAGATCTCTGAAAATCTGTCGATGGCTTTAGGCGTTCAGCAACAAGAAATGATCCAAAACCTAGCAATTAAGCGCCTACATATCAAAAGCTAAATCTTGTACCGAGCTAATCTGTGGAAGAAAGAAAATACTGTATTTAGTTAAGCAAATTGGTTTATGTTCCATGCGGTAGAAAAGTCGCTGTACCGTTTCGCAAAGTGCAGCGCAGCTGAGTGACTCCACCCCGTAGTCGCCAAAATTGTCTCTACCTCTCCGTAGATGTACTATTTACTCCTACCGCTTCTTTTGAGATGCTAGAACACCTACCTCTGATCAAAGAAGATCAAGTCAAATTAAGTTAGGTACCGTTTGGTACATCTACAGAACCCCCCCCCGTCGTGTGCATACTGGTGCAAACGGATACGACGGTTGTGGTTTCTGACGGTTCACAAACACAGATTTGCCTTGAGCAAAAAGATACTGCGAAAATCATAGCGAAACGTTAACAAAGGTTGCCCGCAATGAAGAATATATTGTACAATGCTATTCTCTTTGGTTTTCTTCCATATATCCCCCGACCTGCGAAAAATTACTATCTATCGATGGCCTCATTTTAATGAATGTCACAATACGGCAATAAGCATGACTGCTCAATTGTAATTTGCTTCATTTGCACTGGTCCGTTAGTAAATTTTCATTGACCTTGAAGCAGGCTTTTTTTGAAAATATTTTGTTTCTGTCTCAAGACATCGTGATCAAACTCTATGCATATCAACAGTGGGTAAAGGGTAGGTGTCTTCTGCGCTTCAAGGGACAAGTTTGGACTACTTATACGTCAGTTTTCTTTAATTCTGAGCATCCAAATCGCGATGGACTTTGTCCCCGTTCCCTCATGAAACATCATTCGTCTTATTCTTCAAGGATTGTCTTCCTTGGTTCAGACAGTACATCTGCAAAACAAATGTTCGTTGATCTGAGATTGATACGAGTTTAATTCGATGTTTATCCTTGTTTAAAATCTGAATCTGTTCTTCGTCTATTCGTGTTTTACTGGCATCGTCAGTTTTTTCAAACCAGCTTTTAACAACATGTCGTCATCCACTCAGCGGAGGAAAACTCTCAAATGTACTCGACTAGAAACCGACATTTGTGCCGATGCAATCTGGGGCGCATTTTGCCGTTCTGCGCAACGTGGGCGGTGAATGATAAACCAATCACCCGCGCTTGCCATAAGAACACCGGAATGATATGGCTAAGGTCCGAGGGGCAACCTGAATGGCGTTATAGTCAATATTTTTCTTGGTCTGTTCGACGTCGCCTCAATCATGGACACACTGTAATATTCATTGTATATAATTTCAGATTCACTGATCAAGTTTTTTTTCAAATCGAAACAGTAGATTACGTCATAGACAAAGAAACAACAATAAAAGGTTGTCCAGTGCTGAGTTTTGTTCTTGTGTCATCGTCATCAACAGCTAGCGGAGTTTAAACAGCAGAGTAATCCAAATGCGTGACATCTGACCTTTAGAAATAACATCTCAGATTGATATTAGGCAAAGTTCACTGCTGCGGCTAAGGTCATGTTCCTCATCGACAGCATGTTTGCCTCATCGTTGTGTCATCACATTTTGTATCGCCCTTCAGTGCGTCTACGACCATTGCAGGGTCTCGATGAGAGAGGAAAGTTTTTTATATGTTCCATTTTCTTTCTTGGCCGTTTTATCAAACCAAGCCACACGGCGGCCTCTGAGTTCGTATAATAGTGTTTAATGAGAAGCTGGTCGTAAGCACCGTCCCGTTTCGTTCGTGACCCGGTGAGGTGGTATCATCTTATTTTGAGGTTACTGTGCAGACCGCGTTTTTGGACGCTGTCTGGACGTGATTCACTGACGCTTCAGAACGACAGATGTTTCGAGACGGTAAATGAACACTACGAATACAGCTGTTTTTAAAATCATGACCTTTGCACCAGTTCTTATGCCATGTGTGCCTATGATTGACGGGGTGAAGGTCACTTGTGCTGATGGCAGTTGGTACTGCCGAAACTAATAAACGTTTCTTCCACTTTACGTCCTGGTTTACACCAATCACTTCTGCTTTACACTAAGACTGTCATAATGGATGACTATGCATGCCATTACACCGGGATTTACAGCAGTGTAACACTGTCTTGCTTCTGCACACCATGGGTGGGGAACAACTGAAGCAGGTTACCGCTCCATGGCACCATAGCATTGCCAATACATGAATACAACACAGCATCATTGAGCAAGTTGCGAACCATACACGTACGTATTTAAACTCGGGGTTATGGTTCATACAGAACCACTGATGATGCTGTTCAACCCCTCTTCTTTTTCTTCTTCTTCTTCTTCTTCTCTTCCTTCTCCTTCTCATTCTCCTTCTCCTTCTCCTTCTCCTCCTTTTCTTTTTTCTCCTTCTTCTCCTCCTTCTTCTTCTTTTTCTTCTTCTTCTTCTTCTTCTTCTTCTTCTTCTTCTTCTTCTTCTTCTTCTTCTT